TCTTTTATATAAAAAAAAACTTTGAATTTTATTAAAGCAATTCAAATTAAGAAATAGAATTGTTGCAAATTATTTTCTTATGTTTGAGAATTTTCTACAAAAATATTAAGAAACGGGAATATCTAATGTTTTTCTTTTAAAAACCAAAAGATAAAAATGAGAGTTTTTAAACAATATTGTTATTGAGAAATAAAAATTATGCATAAAATGAGTATATTTCCTACTTTTTAATAAAAATTTGTTAACAATTAACAATTTTCAAATATTTTAAAATTTTAATAAAATTCTTGTCAAAATTTTAATTATTTTCAAAAATTTTCCTCATTTCATTTATTTTTAATGTCTACTATTTTAATAAAATTACTCAAAAAAATACAATTATCTAAAAACAATTTGAATACATTTGTTTCATAAATATTAAAAATTTCACATGAATTCAAATATTTACAAATTTTTTTTATAAACTTCTTGTCAATAATTCAATTATTTTCAAAAATATAATAAAACTCATCGCAGAATTTTATCTATTTTTAATGCAATTTTAATCAAAGTAGTATAAGTAGTATAAACTATTTGGGTCAGACAAATTTTTATTTAAAAACTATCAGGTTTTGAATTATTTTTTTAAGTAGTAGAAAAAATTTAAATCAGACATAAGAACAAATATTAATTTTCGAAACAGTAAATGATTTATCAGAAAAAAAAGAAGAAATTCTCCCACAAGAATTCTAGAGAATTCAATTATTATTTTTCAAGGAATTTGATTAAAATTGTATTAAAAATAATTGAAATTCTGCGATGAGTTTTATTTTTTTTTTTTTTTTGAAAATAATTGAATTATTGCCAAAAAGTTTATAAAAAAAATTTGTAAATATTTGAATTCCTGCGAAATTTTTAATATTTATGAAAAAAATGTATTAAAATTGTTTTCAAATAATTGTTTTCTTTTGGGTAATTTTATTAAAATATCAGAGATTGAAAATAATTGAAATGAGGAAATTTTTTGAAAATACTTGAAATTTTGACAAGAATTGTATTAAAATATTTGATAATAATTAAATTTTGAAGAAGAATTTTTTTTATTTTTGATGATAATAATTTTTATTGAAGTAGTACGAGTCAAGGCGAAGTCAGACAAATTTGTATTTTCAGGAAGGAAGTTTTGAATAAAAAATTGATGATTTTAAGTAGTAAAGACTATGTTTAGTCAGACTAAATTCTTTTTCGGGTAATAATTATCTTTTTTGTAAAATTTATTTGAAGTTATTTATTTAAGTAGTACAAGTCAAGGCGAAGTCAGACAAATTTATATTTTCAGGAAGGAAGTTTTGAATCAAAAATTGATGTTTTTAAGTAGTAAAGACTAGTTCCGTCAGACTAAATTCTTTTTTTTTGGTAATAATTATGAATTATAATTTTGAAACAGAAACAATTATTCCTTATATATTAAAGGAGAAAAAAGCTATCAATTTAAGTTAACAGTAGTATAAGTAGTATAAACCATTTGGGTCAGACAAATTTTTATTGAAAAACTATCAGGTTTCGAAATCTTTTTTCAATAGTAGAAAAAATTCAAGTCAGACGTAAGAACAAATATTAATTTTCGAAACAGTAAATGATCTACCAAAAAAAAAGAAGAAATTCTTCCACAAGAAAAAATAATAATAATAACAATTTTCCACATTTGTAACGGACAATTTATGTATGATGGCCATTATACCAGGGAGGTAATTGTGCAATGAATAATATGTGAAAAAGGAGGGGCGAGAAGGGTGCCTCAAGTAGCCCTTATAAATCCGTGCCTGGGTAAGACGAGGGTGAATGGCAAGCGGCCATCACACATCAAAACTTGTTCCCCACCCAAAATTTTCTCCATCCAAGTATAACTTCACCAATACAGACAATTTCATCTCCATACACTTGAATTTTATACACACATTGGATTCTATACACAAATATATACACACAACTTGTATATACACACGTATACAAGTATGTATGTGTACATTTACTATATATATATATACAGAACCAAAGTGGTGACGTTTCCTTGTTGGCCATGCGCTGGCACAGAGTTTTGCGCCGATTCCCATATAGTCAGAACAAAACTTGTGTGTTATCCGCATGCGGGCAGGTGGACTCGGGGAATCCCCGAGCATTGATGCCAGTCTGAATGGCTTGAGCATATCTCGCCACGTTGCTGGTGACGGCCGTGACGGCATTGGCGGAGATAGGAACGATCGGTGGGCGTTGCGTTTAGAGGGTTGTCGAGATACACTTTGCGGGAGATTTTCTTCTCAGTTGTGCAGTGGCAGCCGTTCAAAACACAACGGTCCTGTTCTCTCGCCCCTTTTTTCTCTCACAAAAAACTCTCTATCTTTCTTTTCGTTTCTCTTCATTCTCTCTCTCTCGATTTTTCTCTATATTTCTCTCTTTCACTCTCGGGTAATTTAATCGTTCGACAAAAATGTTTACTCGAGGAAAAAACAGTTCACATTGAAAAAAAAAGTTTACATTAAAAAAAAGTTCGCATTTAAAAAAAGTTCACATTAACAAAAAGTTTACATTAAAAAAAGTTTCCATTAAAAAAAATTCACATTAAAAAATGTTTACATTAAAAAAAGTTCTCATTAAACAAAGATAACAATAGTTAACATTAAAAAAAGTTCTCATTAAAAAAAGTTAACAATAAAAATAGTTAACATTAAAAATAGTTAACATTACAAAAAGTTAACATTAAAAATAGTTAACATTACAAAAAGTTAACATTACAAAAAGTTAACATTAAAAAAAAGTTTACACTAAAAACGTTTAAATTCTAAAAAAGATTGTATTTCAAAAACAAAGTTACATTTAAAGAAGTTCAATCTCCGGGAAAAGTTTACATTTAGAAAAAAATTACTCTTCGGGAAAAAGTTTACATTAAAAAAAGTTCACTCGCCGGGAAAAAAGAAGTTTACATTCAGAAACAGTGGACATTGGAAAAAAGTTTACACAGTAAAGTTTACATTGCAGAAAAAAGTTGACATTCCGAAAAGAAGTTTACATCTCGAAAAAATGTTTACAATCCGAGGAGAAGTTCATGCTGCGAAAAGAAGTTTTCACTACGAAAAGAAGTTTATGCCTCGTAAAGAAGTTTACATCACGAAGAGAGTTTAAATTCTGAGAAAAAAATTATCACTGCGAGGAAATTTACACTCCAATAAAATTTACAATAGAAAACGGTTTAAAACTGTTTAGAATTTAAAATAAAGTTTACGATTTAAGAAGAATTAACAATTCGGCAAAAATTTACCGGAACGATTTACAATTTGGAAAATTTGCATTTTCATATTATTTACTGGTAAATTTACAATTTGAAAAATTTACCATTTTAAAAAGTTTACAATCTGCAATAATTCACTAACAACAAAAACAATAATTCAACGAAATTTTCAATTTGAGAAAATTTACAAAACCAAAAAGAAAAAAGAGTTTCCAATTAAAATTGACAATCCAAAAAATTTTGAATCCAAAGCATAAAATAGTCTAAGAAATAATTTACAAGACGAAAAAATTTTAAATACAAAAAAATCCAAATCCAAAAACATTTACAATTAAAAAAATTTCAAATCGAATAAATTTCAAATCCATAAAATTTCGAATCGAAAAAAAAATTCCGAATCGGAAAAAGTTACAATCCAAAAAATTTCGAATCCAAAAAATTTCGAATCGGAAAAATTTACAATCCAAAAAAATTTGGAATCGGATAAATGTACAGTTTAAAAAATTTCGAATCGGAAAAATTTACAATCTAAAAAAAAGCGAATCTAAAAAATTGAAAAACTGAAAAAATTTCCAATAAAAATAAAGTTACAATTTAAAAAAATAATTAACAATCGAAAAAATTTGACAAATTTCAAATAATTCAAAATCGACTAAATTCTTAATATACAAAAAATAAAGAATTGAAGAAAAAAATTTTTTGGAATAAAAAAAAATTTGCCTTTTTTTTGCAAATTGGATACTTTTCTCTCTGTGATCATCTACAGGAGGGGGGGAGGATTTTTTTCGGTGACCCCCTTCCCCCTTATCCCCAAGGGGTGTGATAAAGGGTTAATTATAAAACCTTTTGATGTAGACAGAATGACGGGGTTCTTTGACAAAGTGAAACTAGTGACATTAACAGGAAGTGAAAATTCATATAAAGGAAATAATGTGAGAAATGTGACTCAACGCAAAATTGAGGGACCTTAAAATTTTCCAATTCCCCCCCCCAACAAAAAAATAATCGCGATTATGAAAAATTATTAATTTTCAAAAATTTTAATACCTAGTGGAAAATAAAAATTTATACGAGATTATATCAGTGAAATATTAAAAATGACGTAAATTTGGTAAATTCAAAAGTGTCACCTTCATGTTCTCTCCTTTTTTTTAATCGATTTTTTTCCGTTTTCATTTTTGTTTCGATCACAAAAAAATTTCGGATCAATTTGAGATTACTCGACGAAGAATGTCGAATGAGGGTAAAAAAAATAAACTTAAGTGTCGAGTAAGGAAATTAATATTTCGGACTAAAAAAATATTTGACGAATAGAAAAATATGTCGAATTTAAAAAATCCGAACAAAAAAAAATGTGGCGAATAAAAAAACGTGTCGAATAAAAAAAAGACGAACAAAAAACAACCGAAAAAAATGTGTTGAATAAAAAATCGTGTTTAATAAAAAAAACGTGTCAAATAAAAAGAAAGTCGAACAAAAAAATGTTTCGAATAAAAAAAAAGCCGAACAAAAAAATTTGTCGAATAAAAAATCGTGTCGAATAAAAAAAAACCCGAACAAAAAAATGTGTCTAATAAAAAATCGTGTAAAATAAATAAATATGTCGAATAGGAAAATGTGTCGAATAAAAAAATAAGTCGAACAAAAAAACGTGTCGAATAAAAAAATGTGTCGAATAAAAAAATAATTCGAACAAAAAAATGTGTCGAATAAAAAAATAACTAGAACAAAAAAATGTGTCGAATAAAAAAACGTGTCAAATAAAAAAAAATGTGTCGAATAAAAAAAATTAATATTTCAAAATAAATGAAGAAAAAAGCAAACGAAAAATCTAGAAGAGAGAAGAAAAACAATGTGAGAGGATAATTTTTGGATGCCTAAACATGAGAGAAGACGGTGTCTTTTTGGTGGCGGGTGTTTTTTTCCTTTTTCTCATGTGTCACGCGCTCGCCATATCATCCAGCACGCCTTCAAACAAGTTTCAACTTCCGGAATACTGTGCTTGGATACCGCGTATCGAGGGTGCAATAAATTGCATTTTCCACTCCCCAAGGAACCATTCCTTGAGAATGAACTTCACGCAAATCGCGAGCGACTACGTGACTACGTTGAACATTGCCTGCGAAACGTTCATGCCCCAAGAAGCAGAAGACGACGACGAAGAAGACGAGGAAAAACCGGAAACCAACGTCGACGAGTTTCTTCGACTCTGGAAATTACGATCCCTAAGAATAACCGGTTGCGATTTCACCAACTGGTCCCAAAATGCATTCGCCCGTTATCGTGATCTACGAAATCTAACAATCATTCACTCCCACCTGAAATACTCCATCCATGGTTATCAATTGGATAAACATTCATTTAAATCAATCCCCCAAATTGAGATCATCGATATCTCGTCAAATCGCTTAGAGAAATTGAATAGTGACACTTTTTGTTCTCTCACAAATCTTGTTGTTCTGAACATTTCGCGTAATAATTTTCCCACAATTCAAAACTTGGGTATAAGTGATTGCTCCCTTGATATAAAGACACTTGATCTCTCCCACAATCTTATAAAAACACTGCCTGTGAACGCCTTCTCGAAACTGAAACGTTTGAACGTACTCGATTTATCGGAAAACGAGATAAACGTAATTGTGGATAGAGCCTTTCACGGTCTGCGGTCCTTGAGGACTTTGGATCTATCGAACAATAGAATAAGTACCCTGCCCGCTCAAGTGTTCAAGGAGATGGTGAATTCACTGAAAGAATTGAAGATGGGCAATAATTCCATCAGCTATGTTCCAAATGGTTTGGTCGCGAATATGAATCAACTTGTCGCTTTGGATTTATCAAATAATCTCCTGACTAATAACGGTATCGAATCTTCGGCATTTTCGGGTTTGATCCGTTTGGTTCTACTCGATTTGTCGAATAATAAAATTGGAAAACTGGACTCCGGTCTGTTTAGAGATTTATATACTTTGCAGATTTTGAATCTACGGTACAATGATATTGGAGGGATACCTAGTGAAACATTTTCGGCAATGAGTAATCTGCATAGTCTCGAGATCTCCCACAATCGTCTCGAGTACCTTGATGCGCATTCACTGAGCGGTTTGTTTGCATTGTCCCTCTTGAATATGGATTTCAACCTGTTGGAGGACATTCATCCGGACGCTTTTCGCAATTGCTCGAGTATACAGGATCTTCACTTGTCGGGCAATATGTTTCAGAGTGTGCCACTTGCACTCAAGGATATGCGATTGTTGCGTACACTTGATCTGGGGGAGAATTCCATAAGGCAATTGGAAAAATTTAATCTCGAGGGTATGGCAAATTTGTATGGTCTAAGATTGATGGGCAATGAAATTGTGAATGTTAGTCAAGAGGCACTTGTCGAATTGCCAGCATTGCAGATTCTTAATCTTGCGAAAAATAAGATTGTCTTTGTTGAGGATGAGGCGTTTGGTAGTAATCCAGCATTGCAGGCTGTACGTTTGGATGGAAATTTTCTGCAGGATATAAGAAAGTCTTTTTTGAATGCAACGAATTTATTGTGGTTGAATATTTCCGATAATCTTGTCGAGAGTTTTGAGTACGATTTTTTTCCGGAACGACTACAATGGTTGGATTTGCATAAAAATTTACTGACCAAGCTGGGTAAGGCCCAGGTTTCACATCTCCAAACACTCGATTTGTCATTTAATAAATTAACCCGAATTCAAAAGACGAATTTACCAACTTCTTTGGAGTTGGTCTTCCTGAATGATAATTTGATAACAAGCATTGGGGCGCAGACTTTTTTCGCGATGGAGAATTTGACTAGAGTCGATCTCTACTCGAACCAAATAGTTCGTTTGGAGCTGTCCGCTTTTCAATTGGGTAAAACAAGGGAAAGAGTGCCTGAGTTCTACATTGGGGGGAATCCGTTTATTTGTGATTGTACCACAGAATGGTTGCAGAGGATAAATCAGTTCAACTTGGGACAGCATCCAAAGGTAATGGATCTGGAGTTGGTGTACTGTAAATTGCCGTACGATCGTCGACAATCGTTCATATCGCTTTTGGACGCAAAACCCTCGCAGTTTCTCTGCAGTTATAATACTCACTGTTTTGCTCTGTGTCATTGCTGTGAATTTGACGCTTGCGATTGTGAAATGACATGTCCGATGAATTGCAGTTGCTATCATGATGAATCGTGGTCGGCGAATGTTGTCGACTGTTCGAATTCGGCCTATCAAATAATACCGGGAAGAGTGCCGATGGATGCCACTGAGGTTTATTTGGATGGTAACAACTTTGGTGAGCTGAATTCGCATTCTTTTATTGGGAGAAAGAATCTTGAGATTCTCTATGCGAATAATAGTAATATAGAGGTTATCAGTAACAATACTTTCAGTGGTTTGAAACGACTAGTGACCCTTCATTTGGAGCATAATTGCCTGAGGAATTTTTACAGTGCGGTACTGGTTCCGATCGAAAATCTCAAAGAGCTGTATCTTCAGTACAATTTCCTGGAATATTTGGATGAAGCAACCTTTAAGACCCTAAGACACCTGGAGGTGTTGCATTTGAATAACAATCACCTGAAGAATTTTGCCCTTTGGCAATTGGGTGGTAATCCGTATTTAGTGGATCTGATGTTGTCGGGCAATCCATGGAATTGTGATTGTAATTATGTGGATAGGGCGGGCAATTGGATGTTTCAGAACAAAGAGAAGATTAGCGACTGGAGACAGATAACGTGCTCATTGGGAATTCCAATGATTACACTTGTTAATGGTTCGGTTGTCTATTGTGCTGCTTTAACTAACACATCATCAACGATCAAAGTACGTCCCTTTGGCGCTTATATGCCGCTAATTTTGGCAATTGGTGTTCTCGCGCTGATAATAATTGCTCTTATTTGTGGTGTATTGAGGCATAATCGTGTGATACGCGCGTGGACAACGAATCGCTATCGATTTCGTACGTGCTATAAAACGGCGGCATTTGAAGATCGTCAGAAGCCATTTGACGCATGCATTTCATATTCGGCGATTGATGAACAATTTGTATCGGGTGTATTGGTGCCGGGTTTAGAATCAACTTATAGATTGTGTTTACATTATCGTGATTTGGCCGATGGTAATAATGGTATGATGAGTGCAATTGCCGAGGCTGCTGAATCATCGAGACGAACAATATTGGTATTGTCGGATAATTTTTTGCAAAGCGAATGGATGAATTGTGAATTTAAAATTGCATTGAGAGAGGCAATTAAACGTAAGGAGAGTTCAATTATTTTATTATTGGTTGGCGATGAATGTCCAAGGGATTTGGATAGGGAATTGAAGAAAATTATTTCATCGCACACTGTTTTAGTGTGGGGGGAGAAATTATTTTGGCGTAAATTGAGATTCGCGATGCCTGATGTATTGACAATTCCGGCACTTGAGAGGCCACCGTTACTACCAACGCCGCCACCACCGCCTCAAATTCGTTGGGCATAGAGGAGAAAAGCAAGAGAGAGGAGAAAATAAAAGAAAATAACTTTTCAGCAGGTAATTTTCATCTTCTTTTATTTTTTTCTTTTTTTTTGCATGACATTTCTACTTAAGGGAGAGAGAGGAAAAAAAAGAGAGAGTGAGTAAGTGAGTGAGTGAAAAAAAAGTAGAGTAGAGAGAAAATTTTTCCCCCTTTTTAAAGAGTGCTAACGATGCATATTTCTGGGTTAACAAGTTGTAAAAAAATGCAAACTAAAAGGCCACTTTTTGTTTTCTTTTTCCTTTTTTTTTTATTTTCCCTTTTTACTATATGAAAATTCAAATCTTGAGACGAGAATTTTTCTGCTCGAGAAATGGTCGAAAGGATAAAATGTTACAAGAAATCTTTTTTTTCCCTCTTTTTGGTGTATTTCAAGGAAAATTTTGTTGCAATTAATTTTATGGATGGTAAAAGTCACTTGGAGAAAACGAACTCTCTTTTATAATTTAGTATTTCTTGTGAGTGTACCGAAACAATTTATTTAAGTACCTAGACTCTTAATTTCGAGAATAAAATATTTTTATTTATTTTATTTCCTTGATTTTAAAATTTTCTTAATCTTTAAAAAAATATTAGATTCAATTTTTTTCTATAATAAAATATAGCAAACTTACATATAGTAATAAAATAAGTAATAGAACAAAATTTACTTGCTTTTGGAAAGTATTTTCTAAAAAATACATTTTTTAGAATTAAATTAAATTTTTATGATAATAAGTTCGTATATCGTAATTTATTTTTAAAATATATTGTTTTAAAAAATATTTTTTATTTATTTCACGACTTACTATCATAAGATTTATTTTCATTTTAAACGGAAAAAATTTCTTCAAAATGATAAAAATTAAAATTAAAAAAAATTAAGAGTAATAGAATAAAATTTGCTTTTTTCTTCAAAAGAATATACTTTCCTTAATAATTATTTATAAAATTCTATATAATTATTATTTATGAAAATAATTAAATAAAAAGGAAAAATTCTTTCGAAATAATAGAAATAAATATTAAAAATAGGAAAATGAAGTAGGAATTAAATTTTCTTTCTTTTTAAAAGATTATATATTTTTTAAAAAATAATTTATTAGTTAATTAAGAAAATACCAATAAATCATAAATAATATACTATTTAAATTTATTATTCGGTTATATTTAAAATTTAAAGGAAACTAAGTAAATATAAGAAAATAAATAAAATTGGAATAAAACTACTCTTTTTCTAAAAAAAAATTTATTTAATAATAAATAATAAAATAAAAACAATGTTACAACTCAAAAAGTTCACGATTGAACGAATGTTTTTAATCTTTTATGAATTCATAAAAAAATGAAATACTCGCTTTTAAATTTTTTATGACTTTTTCATAGAAAAATTCTGTTAAAAAAAATTCATATAAAAGTACTAAAAAAAGATTCACGACAAACTATTGATAATTTATTTATATTTATTTAATTATTAAACGAGACAAATTTTTTTTAATTGCTACGAATTATAAGTTTTTATTTCGTGGAAATTTGAAAAAAAACATGTGTCTTATTAAAATTATTTTAAACAGTTTAATAATAAATTAATTGATTCGTTGATTGTATTTAATAATTTAGTGCAACTGATCTTATTTCCCCAAAGAAATTAACGTTGAATTTTTTATTAACTACAAAAGCAGAAATACTTTATTTCTGGATAAAAAAAACAAAAAATATTTAATAAAAATGTAAACAATAAATAAATAAAAAATAAATTGTACAAATAAATAACAAGAAATAAATAAAATAGCAGTAAAATAATAATAATGACAGTAAGAATACTAATAAATAAAAATACAGTTCAATTAAAAAAAAAATTGATTAATAACCTAATTATACTATAAGAAAATTTGCATATTTTAATATCTCGAAAAAAAATTGATGAAAGGCGCAATTTGTCTTTCAATTTTTTTTTCTTTTTCTCTTTTGGTTTTGGTGTATATGCGAGATTATTTAAATTCTGTTGAGAGGTGAAAAAGTACCCGGATTTGCTTCTTAAATTGCCTTTCTTGTGGAATAAGCCAAATCCGTAAGCGAGAGTTCAAATCTCCCCCCCTCCCCCTCCCTCTTTTCCTATGGTCCCATAAATCTTTGATGAATTTCACGAATAACCTGGGAGTATATATATAAACTCGTTGTTGACATGTTGAAATATTTATTTCTTGAAAAACCACCAACAAAAAATTCAAACACTAAAAGAAGTCGATTTTTGTTCAATATCAAATATTCAAACACTGCCAAAGTAGAGGAGAACGTTATTTTTATATATCATTTTAAATTCTGTCAAACTTTATCTTTTTCATCCTATACTCTTTTTCTTCTCTTTCCTTTTTCCACAATATATTTTGCTCTTTTATATTTATACCAAAAATTTTGTTTTTTTAGTTTTGAATTCTTAAATTCATAATTTATTTCTTATTTATTATGTTTGTGAATAAAAATAATAAACGTGAATTAAATTTTAGTTTTTTAATTTACAATTAAAAATAGTAAAGAAAATTTAAAAAATTCTAAACTAAACATAAAAATTGTAAAGGTAAATTTAAAAATTGCAAACTTTAAAAAAAAGTTTCGAAGTAAATTCAAAGAATTGTGAACAAAAATTAAAAAATTAGAAAAATGAAAAAACTCGTAAAACTAAAATTTTTCTATTTCCACATTTACATTTAACTAAAAGAAAGAAAGAAAGAAAGTAAAATTTTTTATTATTACGAAGTTACGTTTATATTAAAAAAAAAAAAAGAAATTATAGAGGAAAAAAAATTGCGCGCCTCTAAAAATTCTCTTTTTAATTTTTAATGGATATTGTTGGAAAATTTAAGTAGAATCGCTTTTCCCTAGTTAATTCTTTCAATCTTCATTTTTGCCAGTAATAAATTATTCTAAGACACTGTTCTCTCTTGAGAGCTTGCTGAGTGACTATTTTATCAAGAAAACTTTCACAGCTAAACTTTTTCAAAACTTTTCAGTCGAAAATTCTCATATAAGCCAATAATAAATTTATAATTCTTTAAAGCTATTAATTTTTATCTCCCTCGGGGAATGAAAAACATAATTATCAAAAGATTACCATATTTTTCAAAACTAAAAAATGAAAGAAAAAAAATAGAAACCTCCTAAAATAAAATATACCATAATTGTGTAAACTATTTATATTATATTGTTATTATATTATTATATTATTATTATTATATTATTATTATTATTATATTATTTATTATTATATTGTTATTATATTGTTCCGAAGAATTTTATTATTAATGAAAATAATTGAAATCTTCCAAAGAATTTTACTTTTTATGAATATAATTGAATTCTTGAGAAGAATTTTATTAAAATTTTTGAAAATAATTGTAATCTTCCGAAGAATTTTATTATATTTATAAAAAATAATTTAATTTTTGCTATATATTTTACTTTGAAAGGATTTCTTGATAAGAATTTGATTCAAATTTTTTTAAATAATTGAAATTCTGCAAAGAATTCAATTATTATTATTTTTTAAAAAATTGAATTTTTTATAAGAATTTGTTTCAAATTTTTGAAAATAATTGAAATCTTCGAAAGAATTTTAATTTTTATGAAGATAATTGAATTCTTGCGAAGAATTTTTTTGAAAATTTTTGAAAATAATTGAAATTCTCCGTAGAATTTTATTATTTAAGAAAATAGTTGAAATCTTCAAAAGAATATTATTTTTTATGAATACAATTGAATTTTTAGGAAGAATTTTATTAAAATTTTTGAAAATAATTTAAATCTTCAAAAAAATTTTACTTTTTATGAAAATAATTAGTGACTTACTTTTTGTTCTTGAATTAGTAAATGTTACTGATAAATTAGTAGAAAATATTAGTAATTATTAATAGAATTAGTTTTTTACTGAAAAAAAAATTTATTTGATTCAAATAACCGTTTAATTGACTATTAATCAAGTAAATATTTAATCAAATAATTTTTATTTGTGTCAATTAAATGGTTAAATTCATATTTGCTTCAAATACTGAAATTATTTGTTCAAGTACCATTTAATTGACTCTAATAAATATTATTTAATTCAAGAAAATATTTTCTTGATAATAGTCAATTAATCGGTTATTTGATTCAAATAAATTTCTTTAGTGTAGTTTATTAAATTAGTTAATCACTAATTCAAATTTAGAATGTATGTAAATTAATAAATATAGAAATATATAAAAATATGAATTTTGATTATTCACATAAATTAAAATCTGTACATTATTATTATAAATTCTATAATTTGTTATAGTTGTTACAAAGTTATAAAGTACAAACAGTATTTAAATCAATTTTTAAGGGTTCGTGAATTTATTTCAAGGGTCCAGTTTCATTGAAGGTAGAGATTATTTTTCAATACGTTTATTATACGGGCTTATAATCCGCTTAATCGAATTCAATCAAGTTTCATGGAAATCATACGAGTTATATAATATTACTATTACTACCTATATATATATATAAAACAGATAGAGAGGAGGGGGAGGGGGGTGCAGAGAAAGAGAGAAATAGCGTAGATCCGGTAACGTTTAATGGTGAGAAAAATTTAAATTATTCGAATAATTCATTTCATTTTGAATGAAATAAAGCGTTTATTATATTCTCTGTAAATTACTCGCCGAAGAGTTTGAAAAATTTTTTTTTTATATATATAAAAAAACGGAAAAAGTGTGGTAAGCGTTATCGACAGGTTTATATTTATATATACATATGCAAGTATGAATGTATATGTACGTACATGTTACTCATGTTTTTAATTACATTTTCTTTTATACGATATTTCCCGACGTTTCTATGACTAAGGAAATTGATTTCATTTTTTATTTTTCTCTCATATTATTTTGTCACGTGAATTCGAAAGTATATACGTATATATATATATGATCTGTGTGAAATGCAATAATTTACCTAGATTTATGATATTAAATTTTGCTTTTATTAAATTTAGTAATTAATTAATTGAATGGAAATTTTAATT